CTGTTATCGAAGGTCGGGATGGCTTTGTCAACGTTTTAGGTTCAAAGGTACGCTGCACTCTCCCACATCTTTTTTCACTCCAAGTAACAAAACATTCATAGGTCCTTTCTGGCTCTGATGCTTCCGTCAATGCCGTGCTTGAACCGTTTACCGGCGTCACGGCTGCTTCTGTTTCCAAGGCTTGTCTTACTCCTTATGCGTGTAGTGATGTCCTCACACGTTCTCGTAGGCTGCTTCGTCGCTCGTCAGCGCCAAGCCGACTTTTGTTGCTGTTGGTGACATTGCCAGCCTACCATACGCCGATGAACTGGGGCTCTGACTTTAGAAGGGATCATCTGTATTCATCGAATATAAAATCAAGTTTAATACTCTGGATCATTCTATTATTCTGCCATGCAGTGCGACATCGCCGAACACTGCACCTTGGAAAAATTGCAAAACTATTTGCCGAGTCCTGTTTTCTCTAATACTTGAGTCACACTAATGTTAAATGCGAGCTGGCGGTTGGCCAACCAGCTCCTTGCTCCTTTCGACACTATTGGTTGTACAAGCGTTTTCCTGGTTCGTAAGTTGTATGTTTATCGTTTCCTTCGCAGATAAGTACCAGCGGTTTCCTACTGAAACACAGAAACATTCAACTACGATATCAGACCAAGGTCATCGTTGGTCTTAACCTCGAACCATCATTAGAACGAACGTCGGGCTCTTGTATTCATATCCCAGAAAGAACAGCGTATCGCAGGACGGATTTGTAATGTGCCAGTGCGTTCTGAGTCTGTTTCAGCAAGATAAATCCTTCTGACTGAATGATTCTCCTTAGGACCTCCCTTTCTTCAGCCTCATTCTCAATACCTGATGACCATCATTCCGCATCAGAACCCTCGGCACGTTTATACCCAGGAAAGTCTATCTCGCGCGTCCATGTGCGACGATTTTGACAAATATACCTCCTCTGAGCACGCGACCTCAGCCTGCTTCTAAAGCCGATGTAAAAAGGCATATGGCTCGCTGAGCTCTTTCTCGATCAAACCACGATGATGTCCCTGGTCGCGCTCGTATCTCTACTGTCGTTGGTGACAGCGCAGACATGGTAGGCTACAATTTCTCCACAGCATGCATCAGGTTTGATACAGCTATAGGTGCAACAAGAATTACATGAGCACCGAGCCCATCGTGCCTCCAGGTCAGTAGATCGCGATGAATCAGCGATAGACCTTGATCTTGTATAATAGGCGGTGAATTTCCAGTACCTGAGAAGTTCTCCACACCTCTGTTTGCTCTACGATGTGGGCCTGCTCTTCGACCGTACTTGCCAGAAGACCAAGACGGTATTGTTGACGACCCAACCGCCGTATCTATCCTCGTCGATACACCCATCACGTACTCCCTTATTGTCGGCGCGTCACCCATCACTAGCACTCTAGGCGCTACTCTGAAAGTTACTGTGTCTGCTGAAGGGAAGACCCTAGCTAGTGGAAGAGTTCCCTTCAATGCGGCGAAATACGCTCTTCCATTATCCCTGTCTGCCTTGACTCCAAGAACTGAGGCGTACAACATATCCTGTACAGCAGAGACAGAAGTGGGGGAGCAATTCGCGACAACAGCGTTGCTGAGCTATCTACCTGCGCCTCCAGATGACATTGGTTCTGTTACCAAGATGGACATGCGCACCGGAGGTCTACTTGCCCGACCAGCGCACCAAGACGGGGCGTACGAAAGGGTCTTTCCTATTGGTTTCTACACCCAGTTTGACTCATTCCTGGCTGTCAACTTGTCGGCCATTGGAACGCTGAAGGAGCAAGGGTTGGTGTTCATTCTAGTGTGTACTGCTTGTCCTAATATTTTGACAGATTCAACATTGTACGGATTTTATTCTTCTATTGTTACCGCTGTACATAACCGATGCTATAGATTCATCCGGTGCCGACATTTTCAAATCTAACGGCACTTGATGAAGTATTAGATGAAATGGAGCGAGTAGGCATCTATCTCATGTACGACATGCGAGCGTAAGAATCACTCCTTAGTTCCTCTTAAAGTTCTCTCATTACTCTCCAGAACGTACATGAACAGTGCATCCGTGACGGAGCAAATAAACCGCATCAAGTCGCGCTCCAATCTTCTCTTATGGTACACCGCCGACGAACCAGACGGCACCTCCGACCCGCTCAACGCGACCCTTATAGCCTCAAACCTCATCACCTCGCTCGACGGTGGAGATGGACAAGGAGGATCAGGCTACCACCCTGTATCCCTCGTATTGAACTGCGAGAATTACGAGTTTACAGCATACGCGAGCGGGGCAGATATCGTCATGCAGGATACATACATGATCGGGAACAATGTCACATTCTCAAGCGAATGGGGCACGGTGTGCACGCGTGATTATGGGGATTGTGGATGTGATAATTGTAAAGGTTCCTTTAAGGATATATCGACGAGAGAAGATGAGTTCCGGGAGAGGATATTTGTCAACGGATGGGAGTTAAATAAGGTAGTCTGGGCGGTCCCTCAGGCGTTTGGGAATGGGTCGTATGTTCATTCCCCCCACTCATCTAACAAGAACTTAAAATGCTCTTTTCTATAGCTACTGGAAGAGATTCCCTACTGGGAAAGAGTTTATTGTTCAGAGTATCGTCGGGATCAACCATGGAGCTCTAGGTAATCATCCATTTCTTACGGTTGTGTACAAACATAGTGACCTAGCATTCGTCACAGGCGTCGTATCATGGGATGACCCCACATCTGCCGATATCAAAGCCTCCGCCTCAGCGCTAGCACTTTCCATTCCGACAATTACTTCATTCATTCTTAATCCCAACGTAAAGTTCCAGCAAGTGACGACTTCCGACTCGATTGATGTAGGTTTGTGGACGGTAGGAAACAAGACGTTAGTTTTGGCAACGAATTTGGACTACGAAGAAAAGGTCCTTTTCTTGGCGCAGGTTGGTATAGCTGAAGAGGTCGCAGAGAAAGTATTCGATAGTAGCGCCCAAGTATATATCGGTGGGTTCAGCGTTATTTTGGAATCTGTTGGCTCAGCTGGTTTTATTGTACCGAGTAAATAGTAATATTTAGCGGTCCGTATATCTCCAAACTACCCTTCATGTTGCTACGACTGTCATTATTTCTCACAATGAGCCATCGAGGTCGGTAGTAGTTTATTTCTACTGTACCATTTCGTTCAATTCGAATGTCACGCGTCACAGCGAAAAAATCTGGCAACGGAAATGATTTTTTCTCGATTATTCCGATTTCTTTTGAATTTTTTTTGGTCGAAAATTCTTGGATTGCATTCGAATTGATCGAAATGGTACAGTATTTACCTGATCTGTATCAGCGACCGATCAATTCCTGTTTTCCTGTTTTCCTGTCTCCTTACATGTATGTATTCCGGTGCTTAGGAATCTCGAGATTTACTATATCAAGGTAAGTTGTACCACCAAAGTCTATTTGTGGCAGAACGGTGATGCATCACCGGACAGGGTCCTACACAGCTGCGATCGATAGCAACGTGCTGGGCGTCGTGGGGCGGTGCATTCACCACTCCCTTGTTGATCATGAACGGCGATGAGGGACACATACTATTACAGAAAACATAGAAGGACTCTCACTGCGACTGCCCTTCACTACCACGGCATACTCATCGCATGCACAGCATTCTCTCTCTCTACCGCAATATTTTTCGCCTATCATTTGGGATACTTTTCGACATTTCTTGTATACCTCCCATTTACGACAGTATGTGTCCCAGCGTTGACAATATTCGATGCCGCCCATATATCTAACTGGTCTCGGTGGACGCCACGGAGGAGAACACGATTCCGACTGTGTTTTATATGGTGCCTTTTCCTTCTGTTCGCACCGACTTACCCTTCCTCTTCTTACCTCCGCCATGATGCCCCCATATCCCCCCTTCTGTCAAACGGCACATACTACATTGCGGCTAATCTGTATAATTCAGCAAAGGTCTTACCCTCGTGGACGAAGGAGATGAAGCTCCTCATCGAACACATAGGACGACAAAACGTCTTCGTATCCATCTACGAATCAAATTCCGTAGATGGAACGCAAGAGATTCTACGTAACTTCCAGAAGGAACTCGATGAACAGGGCATTGAGAACCATATAGTGGTGCAGGAAGGCATAAGGGATAGGTGGGGGCTGAACAGCCCCGACAGGATCTCTTACATGGCAGATATCAGGAACAAGGCCTTGGAACCCTTGCGTGTCATGGGTGATCAAGATGGCAAGTCCTTTGCGAAAGTCCTGTTCTTTAACGATGTTTATTTTGACTGGAGTTCGTCTTTTCGTTCATTATCCATCGCTTCGGGTATCCTGACACTGTGTTCACAAATAGGAGCTATTGTACGATTAATCAACACGAAGGAAGGAGATTATGATCTCGCTTGTGCTCTTGATTTTGATGGAGTGGGGCTGTATGACATGTGTGTCTTTCCCTGCTGTGCATTATCCATCCTCTTATGACTTTACCAGATGGGTAATACGTGATGCTTGTGGACGGACAGCGAAAGAAATCTGGCCTTATTTTTCCTCGGACACCCGAGCTGTTAAAAGCCTCCGGAAAGGTGAACCTATCGAGGTTGCCAGTTGTTGGAACGGAGTGGCCGTTTTTGACGCGGCGTGGTTTCTTGCGGGGTCTCTTCCCAGTAAGCGAAAAGTCTCTTCGTTCTCATACATGTCCTCACTTTTGTCAGAGTTGGAGCGGAATACACCTACGCCTACGGGAGATTATCTCCCCCCGCTGCCGTTGCAGTTCAGAGGCAGTACAGAATGCACGTCGTCGGAGTGTTACCTTATAGCTATTGACATGCATTTCTTGAACACTCCCCACCGGCCGAAAATATATGTTAACCCTCAGGTCAACGTCGGTATGTCCCAACAAAAGCCTCCCTCTAGTTATGCTAACACCGCTTACAGCTTATGATTCACTAAACTTTCTCTTTCATACCAAGTTAGAACACTTGACGTTATCAAAACCGTGGCGGCTGATATGGCAGGATTGGATCGGGCACAGGATGTTCGGCTGGCTGAGCGACTGGATATGGCTCAAGGAGGATAGATGTTCCGGTAAACGTGGTTCAGAAGTCTTCGTGGAGGCGGATTATTGTAGGTAATGTTGCTGTCATTGTACTTTATATCGTGAGGTAGGTGTCTCTTTTCATACAATGTGAACGTTTGAACGCCAACCCGACATAGCATTAGGAGTGATATGAGTCTGGATTCTTCCGTCACTATTCATATCAGAGCTATCCTGTTGAAAGTGTGGTCGTATGCGTGGTAGTAGCATGAAAGATCAAAATCGTACCAACATTTCGGTAACCCGGGCCAACTACGGCCCGAATGTGACGACGCGATTTCGAACCTCTCCTTGACCAGAAATGGTGCGATGCGTCCACTCACTCAGACCGTCTTTTGTTTCGCCAGCATGTTGTCGGCATATGCTACTAGGCAAAGTACCTTTAGCTCCGAATCCAAATGGACTGTTGAGGTCTCAAAGCATTGGGATGTAAGCGTCCCGGATTTGTAGCTAGCACACGCATCTTACCATCTCAAGGTCCTAGGTCCTTTCCCAATACAAGCTAGAGAACAACAATTTATCTCGCCTTCTTTCCCTTTGAATTGTAAGTGCATTGAAGCATCAACATGAGCATTGGAGCTGAATGATGTCTAGTATCAGAGCCAATTAACTTTGCCAAGACTTGGCCATCCTCTTATGCAGATGGCGGAAGGGTTGCATGGAGTTCTGTAGTTCTCAAAGATGCTGGCGACATTGAAATATCGTTTCCAGACATAAGGTATGCGCGTTATACTGCTCATAAGGAACACTGACAATGCCGTGAAAGATGGGAATCCCTTCGCGCAACAGAGGGATGGGCTGCATTGCAACATCACGCTGTGCTTCGCTCTACGCTCACAGTCCACCCTCCAATAAATCCTTCAAAGTCGACCCCTGTTCCACACCTGCTCGTACAGCTCATTCAAGGGTCCTATTTTACAATTCTTCCCAAGAACGGAAGAAGAGAACCTCAATGGTACTCTGGGAACATCTATGCAATGGAACGATCTCTACCACAGCAAGCTCCTCTGCCTACAACCCCGTCGAACGATTCTGTAACCCATTATGACATCTTCATAAGCGGGGATTATGAGATCAGATTGTTCGGAGACCCACATACTCAAGATCGTGAAATTCCTGTCCAAAGCATCAGTCTTTCCGTGAAATTTGATGACGCTCTCGGCAGTGTAATTCGAGAGACTACACAAGACGTCATTTGTGATTTCGTAGATAACTTCGCCTTTGGAAACGCCATTGGCATCGGGTTGCGAAGCGTTGATGGTTGGTGGACTGTTACAGATGTGTCAACAGATTCCTCCTCGGTAAACGAGCTCGACATTCTCTGCCAATTGTCACTCTCTTACGTTCCGTCAGGGCTTGACTTTGACTCTTGTTCGACCTACTCGAATAGCCGAAGGACAAACTCGTATTGTCCCAGTCCAAATAACCCAGACGCGACCTTTCAACCGGGCATCCATTGACCTGAAGCTCACATTGACATCAGGTGCCTCTGAGACCATAGTAACAATCGAGTCCCTACCAGTGAATCAACTCTCTGGTTGGATGGAGTCGGTGTATTCACCCATCAAAGGGTCTTATTTCTATGCTAGATCGATGCCAACTGTTTTTACTGCGTTGCCGCCCAGGTATTCTGGACCTCCAAAGCCTCCTATATTGGCCCTTCGTACGTTTTAACAATTCCTAACGTCACATTACTCAATTCTCAATGTGAAGATGGTGCTGGCGTTGACATTGTGGATCAGTCGTTCTGGGCTGACGCTTTGCCTCGGAACTCGTATTCCTGGTTTGTCATTCCGACGGGAAGGACGTCGTGGGTGCGTGGATCCAATGCAGCGTCTCTTATCGTTCACCGTTGCTTTGTAGGGACTTGATTGGCACGGACCTAGTATCAAAGACACTTGGGCGTCTCTTGACGCCCTGGTCGCAATTTTGGCAGCTAATAAGGCATGGCTTCCCTGGAAACTCGAGCCGAATATCCCTGCTATCATACTGGGACACTCTAATGGAGGCCAGGGTGCTTGGTACATTGCATCGAGGTATCCTGATAGGGTTCTTGGAGGTCAGTACCTTTCCTTTAAACTCGAACTACAGCACTTTGGGCTCACTAACATCGTACATACAGTTATTCCGGCTGCGGCATACATCAAATCTCAGTCCTACGTCCCTCTGACGCTCTCGAGGTAATTATTTTATATCCGATGTATTTTATTCTGCTTACAGTCGCTCAGATCTGCCCGATTTATTGATCCCATCCTTCTCTCTGTATTGGAAACATCCTTAACACCCGATAACAATGATTTATTCTTGACGAACTTGGTTGACACTCCTGTTCTTGCGATTCACGGGTATGATTGCTAGTATCTTGTCCGAGCAACAAGCGCTTATGATCCAACAGAGGAAATGACAACAATGTTCCTGTTTGGCATAGTAGAGAAGCAGGTCTGACCCCCCTTTGACAAAAATACGACTTGGGTTCTGCGAGACATGGACGTCTATTATGAAGTGGTTTGTGAGTATATCAAAAACCTCTGCCGAGCAAGTGAATTACTTTTATTGTCGAGATCACTGTAACAAGGTTAGAGTACTTATTGGCGGTTCACTATAATCACTATCACTTAGGGGGAAAGCCTGAGTACGCAGCCGGCTTGAAATCGGCATGCTGAGTAAGCCCAACAGCGACCATAATTTGTAACAACACCGTGCGTCATCGTTCGAAGCAACACTCTATGGCGCTTAAACGAACTCTGGCAACGAGAGGATACTGACTTTCGAATGGTTACGGTGCGGTCAGACCGGTACTTTTGGAGTCTGGACACAATTTTGAGACATTAGAGCGCCGAAGAAGGAAGGAAGGAAGGAGATTAACTTGAAGGAAATGAATCCACCCGGGTATTCCTTCGTTCCTTCTCACGATTACGGAACCAGAATCGTGGAGAATTGTATCGTCTCAGAATCGGACATTTTGCAGGAACCCCCCTATGACGGCCACCTCGGAATTTGAGACCTTCGAAAGGCGCTGACCGTGGTTTCGCCTAACTGTGTTCACTGCCTTGTATGTCTGAGCAGCCGCTGATTAGCGTCCTGCGTGCACTAACTTGCAGCAATGATTTTATATAAAAGGCGGGACTGCTACCTCTAATTTTCCATCCAACTTCCCCTTCATTGAACTCAGCTTTCTTACATTCAAATTCAGATCAAGATGTTGTCGTCCGCTTTCCTCACGATCGCATTGGCTACTACAGTCCTTTCGCACCCCACGAAGCGACAGACCGGTGGTGTGATCACCTCATGTACTGTGCCAAATACGGTTGCTCTCACTTTTGTACGTCGAGCTCTTCGCATCACGCTGAATTCACTTGACTGATTCGTACGCTACCTGCTTAGGATGACGGTCCATACATTTATTCGTACGCAGGTCACATCTAATTTGTATCGTATACTCACAGATTTTAGGCAAAACATTGTCGATATGCTCGATGCAAAGAGTGCCAAGGGCACGTTCTTTGTTAGTACGTACCATTTCGACTTTGCCTCCCGTGTGGTTTGGATCTAATAAAATCCCAATTATTCAGATGGAAACAACTGTGAGTTCTGCATGTTATCGGATGGTTTTTCTAGTACTCATGCGCGTCCCCCAGACGGCTGTATATACGGTGACAACGAGGTGGCAGCGATCAAAAATGCATACTCGAAGGGTCATCAGATCGCTTCGTGAGTGCTTACTCTCCGAACTCGGGTCCGTAACTTATTTTGAAAACAGGCATACATGGGCCCATAAAGATCTAGCTACGCTGTCTTCTGACCAAGGTATGCAGTTCGATGGCATGGCGTCAAGAAGATTTCTAACCTCGGGATGTTGATAGTCGAAAGTGAATTCACTCTCACTGATAGTATGTTTCTCGTCAACCGTTAATGGATTTCTAACTCGATGCTAATGCACATTGCAGCGGCGCTGGCGAAAATACTCGGAGTTAACGTTGCATTCATGAGACCTCCATACGGAAGTTACAACGATGGCGTGTTGCAGGTCGCTGCTGCGCACAATCAAAGCGTGATTATTTGGGATTTCGAGTACGTCTGACTTCTCTGTCTTAAACGGAATATGAGTTTTGACGCCTGCTTCTGCGCAGTTCTGGTGATTCTGTGGGAGTATCCCCCGCGGATAGTGAGGCAGGGTATGATACTCTCGTGGGTAAGCATCCTAGCACGATCTTGACTCTGAACCACGAGACTGTCGGTGAGTGGTTGGGTAACTTTTACTGGGAAATCTTATCTAACTTTGATATGTCTAGAAACTACTAGGTGAGTGGTTATCGTAACCACGGTATGAGCTAGTATCGACGCGTTTGCAGTACGACCGTTCTCCCGCATGCCCTTGAGGTCTTGCAAGGTGCAGGATACAACCTTGTAACCATTGCTGAATGTCTTGGCTTGCCAGCATATTTGAGCATTGGAGCGCCTGGCGTGAAAGATGTGTGCGTTTCTCTTGAATGTATCAATGGTTGGTTGCTAACTTTTCGCCGTTTGTAGGCCTCGTGGACGTGTGGAACATCTTAGATGATGGACTGTCTTGTTGCATAGACTCGGACTGGCGCTGTATTTTTATTTAGTACCTGCTGTTTTCCAAATACCACTACGATTTCATAAATTACTGGTCGTTTGAAAGGAAAATGAAGTTACAAAACAGCTATACGACTTGCGGGCGATCAAGCAAGTTTTCAGTACACTCATCAACGAATTCTCTTCTCAAAACTTCCCTCCTACTCAGAACTGAGTAATACTCTACGTTGTTGCCCCAGTCCGACCAAAATTCACCTTCAATGCCGTCTACTTTGTGATACACATGATTCACACTATGGATTCTTCAGAAAAGATATTTTCCAGGGATTCCCTCAAAACTTCACGTGCGCGGGAGCTTCTATGTAACCTAGCCGAATCACGAATGTTTTGTGCACTACTTCTTCCCTTTCTCCTAACCTGTCCCTTCCATTCTCAACCCTGCGAAATGCCATTTCTTTCGTTACAACGTCTGGATTGCGCATCAGAGAATTTGACGTATTTGCGGCAGTATATTTCAGGGGATCTGCAAAGATTGTAGCTGTAGGGCTACCATTATTCCGGGGTAAACTACAGCAGATGCTCAGATAACGTTGATACTACTCTCACCCCATCTAGACAAGCTCGCTAGCTGGTATCCAGTGAACATGTATGGAAAGAATGTTTTGCCGCTATCGAAGAGTCGGTTCCCAGAATAAGCCCAGTCTTTTCAAGCAGCTGGGCTGTATCCGCACCATACGCGATACCTGCCGATAGCGCAGGAATAAGAACAGACCCTCAGACTGTTGGATTCGAAGGGCGCCCCGGCCCAGCCTTCAGCTTCAAACTGTTCAAGATAGGGTAGCGTTAAATACTGTATCAAAACAGCCCCTCCGGGAGGGTTGGAAACAAACCGTAACTTACACCCCCTGGAGGTTTTGTGCACAATCCTAGAACTTCAAGACACTTCCAGGGCTTATTAAAAAACAAAATGGTCAGGACTCATTGAAATGGACACATTGGAAATTGAACCCAACACCTCCCGCAACTAACGTTGTGCTAAGCGGGCGTGATAAACCAACTATACCATGTGCCCAATATTTCTATGTTTGAGACAATGTAGCTCTCGCTCATCGAAGAACATAAAATATTGAATACACCCCAGACAAAACAAGAATCTAATAAGTCCACCATCGGCACGACAACAATGTCTACTAGCCCTGGTGTCGCATCCGTATGCCCCACAGGCCGCTTCTGAATTGATATCTACTTCCTGAACCAGTGACAGTTGAATCATACATTACCGACATCTCAAGATGGCCTTCAAATACTTCACAGAGCTCGATCCCAAGTGCACTGTTATCGTCGTACACCGCAGTCCACACAGGCGAACAGTTCATCTTGAATACGCTTCCAGATGCGGTCACAATCCCAGTCATGGGAATGGACGCGTTCCCCACCGCCGATTCGACAATTTCCCCATCACGATGCTGGGGGAAATTGTGTATGTCGCACTTGAACGTGTCGGTAAGCGTGAGAGAAGTGATAGTTAGTTCGTGGGTCTCCCCAGACACAGGGTCACGCATATCAAAACACCGCATCCAGCCCTTTTTGTTGGGACTCTGAGCGTTCGGGAGGTCCGGTATGAAACACCGGATACCGCAATCCATGATACCCTGGCTCTGCCACGTCGAAAGGACGCCGAAAATAGCCTCGTAGTCAGGCTGGCTGCCGCTCCCAACTGCATGTACCAGTGAATTATGGGTGATTGGCCAAAAGTCGAAACTTCCGAGTTTATAGGGGGACTCTGGGGGGATGACTTGGAGTGGCGTGGACGGGTTCAGCGTCGCGCGTTTGCGTATGCACGAGGACGGCTCCTCGGTCGTGCATTGGACGAACCTATGCCTCTCAAGCGTGAAGGTTTGCCGATGGGAGTTAGTGGCGCCCGGAGGGCATTAGTAAATGAGGGGCAGATCATAGCTGTATCCTTACTTCAATGGCTTTCATGCGTTTCGAGGACTGGCCTTCATCCTCCTCATCACCTGCGTCGGGGAGCATGGAGCGTTTCCTACCTTTTTCTGACATCTAGAGTAATTTTAGGGCTGACGTTGTCACACCGGAGATTCACTCACCTCACTTGAGATTCCTGTTGGGGGTTAGTGGGAAAGGATGTGTCGGGTGGCATTGTATATGAATGAATGTTGGTCTATGTTGGTGTGAACAACGAAACAACAAAGGCTAGTGTCGCGCGACTTGGCAGCCTTGTGTCCGGTTTGTCAGGTGAAGTGGAACTGCATAGTAGTTGTGCTGGCAAGCCTAGTACTGTTGACTTCCCTCGAAGACTTTGACATGTAGCTCCCCGAGTCCAGATAGTTCCTGTCGCCAGGCCCGACAACCTGTTCACGTATTAGCAGAATGGCTCGCTCAGAGGGGTGCCCACGATACAATAACGATTACTTTAAGGCCGTACTGCTTAGTTATGCAAATGCAAGAGGGAAGAAGAGCGTACCACGTCGTGATGAATCCGAGCTTGAACCGGACCCTTGTGCACCTGTACTCGAAGACTTATAATCATGCACCGGGGGTCGCTTGGAAACCGATGGAATCACCGTTATCGATCAGATGGTGAATAATATAAGCTGCTTTGGAACGTCTACCCATTGGCTTTGCCTTGTTTGCTTTGCATAGGCCCCCTTGGTCATACACGTATGCGTCCTATTTGATACAAACACAATGCCGTGTAGATAACACAGTTAGTAGTACACGCAACACCGATCACCTAATGATCTTCCTCCTCACCCGGAATGACATCCACCTGGAAATTCATCAGTCTACGGATATTGTATAAGGAACGGGATGTATAGTACCTTGTCAAGATCCTCCAAGCACTCCCCAATGATCCTAACAGCCTTCAACAGATCCTCCTCTGATATCACCAGCGGAGGCGCGAACCGAATACTGTAAAACCCCCGGTAAGGTCACCAAAATGGAAGGAACGAAAGCTTATCTTACATATTCACATGTGTCGGTTTCGCCAACACGCCTCGACTCTTCAAAAGCAAGCACAATTGCCATGCCGTACGTCCCTTCTTACTCTTACTCTCATCAATAACGACCGCGTTCAACAGCCCTCTTCCGCGCACGGTTTGCACCAGCGGAGAATTGAGCTTGGCGACCGAACTTCGGAAGAGTTCTCCTAGCACCATCGCACGCTCCGCCAGACGCTCTTCGACTAGTACATTGAGAGCCGTCATCGCTACAGCACATCCTAGTGGGTTTCTGAATAAACAGATTAATAGATGTAAAAGAGACAAAGTTAAAGACCGACCCTCCATAGGTACTGCCATGCTCGCCGGGTTTGATACAAAGCATGATGTCCCGATCGGCCAGGACGGCAGAAACAGGGTACATACCGCCAGACAAGGCCTTGCCCAGCAGGACCATATCCGGTCGGACGTTATCATACTCGCAAGCCAGCATCTTTCCCGTTCGACACAGTCCTGTTTGGATCTCATCACAGATAAGGAGCACGTTGTGCTTCTTGCACAGAGCATGCATGCGTGAGAGATATTCCTCTTCGGGAACAACAATTCTGCCACGAACATGTTAGATCAAGTATATGTAAAGGAGAGCTAAAACCACGCACCCAGCTTCGCCCTGAATCGGCTCCACAAGAAAAGCTGCGACATTCCTACCATGCAGTTCAAGCGCTCGTTCCACATCCTCCACGACACCATATCTGATGGTGCTCAACTGGGAGCCGTCAAGATACGTAGGTCCGACACCTTCAAGGTAAGGTCCAAAACCAGTGCGGCTGTCCGGATCGGTACTCATACTATCTTTCCATGAAACAAACTCAGTAGAGGTTCCCCACGAGGCAGAAGAAACGCACCTGATGACACCCAGCGTCCGCCCGTGAAAGTTGCCTTCCACGCTCAGAATCATAGCCTTGCCTTCGGGAACACCCTTCTTCATATAGGCCCACTTGCGTGCGAGCTTCAGCGACGTCTCGACAGCCTCTGCACCAGTATTCATGGGCAGGACCATATCATAGCTGAACATCTCTGTGATCTGCTGAGCGAAGCGGCCAAAGACACTATTGTAGAAGGCCCGAGAGGACAGGGTGAGCTTCTGGGCCTGCTCGATGAGAGTCGCGACAATCTTTGGGTGACAGTGTCCCTGATTTACGGCCCTATTACCGCATCTGAGAAAATCGAAGCAATCAGGAGGAAAAATACTGACGAATAGGCAGAAAGCATGTCGATGTACTCCCTGCCTTCTGGGTCCAATACTCTATCAGGATCTAATCAGATTAAGCATATTTCGGCGGCAAAAAGAACTCACTTGGCGCCTTTTGCGGAATCGAAGACGACGGGTAACGGATGGTAGCTGATAATAGCAAAAAAGCCGCAGGTCAGTAGGTGTTGTATAAATGGAACAGATACGAACGACAAAATTTTATATAAAGCGGCGATGATTCAGGCCCTGTGGCGTCCTTTCCTGCACATGATGATGGCTCTCCTCATGTCCAGCAAGAAACAACGAGAAGAAGGAATACTCACTTGTGCGCCCCGTACTTGTTCTCCGTCTGGATAACACCCGCCGACGTCAAGTGAACGCCACGTCCGGTAGCCTTCTCGACACTTTTGGTGTCATTCTTGATGCCGTTGGAATAGCCATTGGTGCTCGTAATAGCGGTTGGAGACATATTTCTTGGTTTGTTGCTTGAGAAAGGTATTTCTTGACAAATTTACGAATTTCTGTCGATGATGATGGTGGTGATAATCAGAGATGCAATGCGCAAGACGGAGCCCTCAGCTGAGGCGCTGACAAATCATATCCAACCGATTGCTCATGCTCCGCCCGTCGCGCTTCCCCCAGCCAAAAAATTTTCCTATGGCTCCTGTCTTGTTCCGATAAACGCGGTGGTAGCCGAAGCCGAAGGTCTTGGTACTGTATTCGAAAGTTCCGCGATTTTATTTTGTACCCATTGAGGTGAGAATTTATGTCGAATGAGAGTAGACTCAAGAGGAATTTTAAACCTTCCTTATAGTATCGACAGAATCACAATTCAATCGCCGTTGAACTCGTAATGGTAGTCGTTAATATA